CCTGCCGTTATTTGGTTTTTATGATAACCGTCTCATGAAAATCTATGGGATTATGAGGGTCGAAATTCGATGGGATAAAAGAGAGCGGATGCATACTGATGATGAACAGCCGCGATTGTTTGAGTGCCGGCTAGTACACTTGTTTTTGACAGTTGCGAATGTGCAGGAAACGAGTTTGGATTGAATGAAGTAAAGCAAACGATGGACGGATAGTACAAGTTGGAGGAAAGGAGCAGCATAGAAGCGTGAAAGCGTGCAACCTGTTCTTACGATGTGCCCCGAGGCAGTTGATGACAAAGATGGCGATTATCACAATGCCAATCGCGCATCCGCACCCAACCGACTGCTCGTTAACCCTGACCGAATTGTCGTCTTTGCAACGAATCGTGATCTGCATCTGCATCACCAACCAATCACATCAAATCTCGACTGCACACACCCAGACAGATATCACTGCTCCATGATCCGTGTTACATTGCTGCCTGCCTGCCTGCCTTCCAGTCGTCTATTCATTGCCATTGTTGGGTGACCATGAAAAAATTTCATCAAAGGGGGCGGTTTTGCGTTGCGTCCAGGTGTGCCTACGGCGTGCGTTCTCACTCAGTTTGCTCTTAACCCATCTATGCATTCGAGCCGCTCATTCAGTTACGCGGCTCTTACTCTCTGTCAGCTCTATTGCGTCATTGTGCCGTCGATATTGTGTGGTCGTCTCGGAGATAGCCATTTACTGTGAGGCTGAAACTTGTTGGGAATCAATTTTGATATAATGATGAAGATCGGATCTTCAATCTTCATCTGAGCAAAACAGCTATTGATCATTATAGTTACTTATTTTTACAACTGCTCAGTAGTGGAAAGCCTTTCGAAGTGTGTTAGCTGACATCAGTTGGCTTTTCGGAGAGCTCAGAATTGTTTGCTGGTATCAACTGCTGAGGGGAAGGAAAACTTGTTGAAGATTTTCCAATCAAAACGTTCGTTTATCTACTGTATGCACAAATCAAATGTCGTTTTAAGTGGCGCGATTTGGGAGCGCCGCTATGGTACTGTCTATGAACAGTACGTTGAAGAAAATTGGCAGTGCTGTTGGGAAGTCATCGGCGGTAGCGGCCAGCGGGGATGAGCTGAAAGAGTGCAATAATCTAGAGCAGCGTACAGCAGTCGGTAAGCGTTTCGCACGTCGAGCCAAGCGTTGGGCCGAGCTGCAGCAACGTCGTCAAAGTTCGCGTCAAGCTCATTCTAACGTTTATTCACCCGCTTTCACTCCAGTTTCAGTCTCTTCGGACTCCTTCTCGACTACTTCTTCGCCTGCATTCAATCGGCGGCAAGCATCATCCATCTCATCGAATGGTGACAATGTTCCTGGGCAATATATTCGTAACGCCAACACCACTTATGACCAAACACGTTACTATAACATCAATTCTTGTGCCAAATTAATTGAAAACAATTCGAGTAATGAACTCATCAATGTTGAATTGGCCGCAATGGGTGTTGGTATGATTCCATTCCTAGATACTACTGCTGAAGTGAACAATCTTCAAGAGCATATTTGCTGTGAACGACATGATGTGAGTTCGTCAGATGACACGACGGATATAATTGCGTTCAGTGCTTTATCAAGAAAAGCAAGTCAATCTGAACTGTTGGATCAACTCTCGAAACAAGAGACGCGTTTCTGCACGTTCAGTAGTAAAGTATCGGAGAATGGCGCATCAAGTCAACAATATTTCATTATGAATGCAGGCTCAAAACAAGAGGCATTTGTGTCAGTTTATCAGTTACCCGCTGAACTTCACGTTTATCCCAATGCAGGTGCTTCTACAAAGCATACAGCCATAGTGCGTCTCGACACGTCATCCAGTTTGTCCTCTACCTCGTCGTGTAGGTCATGCTCTTCGAGAGCCAGGGATGAATGCTCGTCGTCATCATCTGATGAGGATGCATTTTCTTGGATAGCTTCTGATTTAGCGAATGTATCGATTCAGTGTGGTGATTGTAGTTCGTGCAGATCCATTGGTGCTGATTTGGGCAACAGTCGTTCAAATGAAATCATTAAGTCATCATTGGGTGATGCATCGTCTCTTGTATCTTTGAAAACTGCAATGACAGATTTGAATTACGTTGATGAAGGTTGGTTTTATTCCTCTATTTCCTCCATGTGAATCTCAATTGCTCAGTTTTTTGATGTTTCATGCGTTTGTTTTGCTGTTTTCATATTACATTGGTGCAGATTTCGGCGCTAAATTCAGTTATATTGAACGAACGAAGATAGATGGCGATTGTTCTCTCAATTCAGATAATTAAGTTGTGTACTGATGAAACATAGAAAAAAAGCTTCATATACATCCACCACTGCAAAGTGCATTTCCGCAGTGATTTGCTAGCTCTCGTTTAATAATTTCTACAATTGTACCACATTCAATAGTCGCAATTGCTTATACAGCGGTTATCAAAATTAAAAATGATGCATTTAAATCATATCTGTTAATTTTAAGTTCAGTAGACTGGACTGCAAAGGTATTAAAATAGCTTTTCAATTTTGATATTACGATCTCCATTTCAATTTTTCTTCGTATTTCGTAGAATCAAGGAAAAGGAAGACAAATTTTAACATTTACGGTTGAGCAATATCTTATGTACAATTCGAATGTCTCTTGCTGTTTTTTTTTTCTTCTGAATGTTTCCAGTGATCAGTTTGTGTTTTTGAATTTAGATTGTGGTATCTTCCTCATTAATCTGTTTCGTTTGAAATCTTCATGTTTTCATACTGTTCATTCCACACAGACCATGTTTCATCTGAAAAATTTGCTTATAATTATGTATGTGTGAAAGTGTATTCATTCATTTTCGAGCGAGCACATGTGCTGTAAAAAAGAAATGAAAGCATCAAAATCAGTACTAGTGAGCATATCGCCTATTGAAATGCTATAGTAGATGATGTTGTGAGACAGTCAGGCAATGGATATTTTTGTTATGGTTCAGCAGCGTTCCAGAAATAGAGCAAATCAATCATGCCCTGCGTTGAGGCTTTGCGGGAATCATCTGGATGCAGTTTAGCTGAATCCGCTTGATTCAAGCTCAGACATTGGCTCAGGCTTATGCTGAGGTTTGTGCTTGGGCTTAGGCTCAAGTTGAAGATGGGCTAAATTGTCCCAAGGGATTTCTGCGGTTTTATGCCGTTGTCCAGTTAAATCATGCTCGATGTTGTTTATTTTTAAAATAAGAGCATTTTTACCAGATTAATAAGAAGTTTTGTAACAATGCTATTGAAACTAATGCATTTGTTGCTGTAGTAGCCTTTCGGTTCACTGAAATAGTTTATAAAGCATTTTGTGCATTCACCGACTTTCGTGCCTCGTATGGAGGATTTGTGTAAAATGCATCATGTCTAGCATGATTTATGTGAGTTTAGTTCGCATTCAGTCATCAGTTATCGTAATGGCAGTGTGCACTCTGATTTCTTTGTAATGAGTAATGATATTATTGTTGTTTGTTATGAGAGATTTGTTTTTGTTTTGTTTTTTTCAAACTCCATTCTAAGTAATCTTTCGAAGTAATGAAAAACTAAGGTTATCTGAATGCATTCGAATTTAATTTCCACTTTGTTCAATAATTAACCACTCTCAGTATTCTGATCAGTGGATTCGAAAATTTTCTACGGTTTAACATAACCAATGCTGAATCTGTCACATTCCGGAAGTTTTTTTTTCAACACAATTCGACTATTTGCAAATCGGTAGTTCTAATTGAACCTTTTTAGTTTGTATTTATTTATCAAAATTTCCAATGTAAAGTTGAGGAATCTGTAAAGTATTATATCACTGCGCATCTGATACTGAGAATTCATTCAAAAGATTAATTGTTTCGTCGGTTGCGATGTTTATCATATTCTGTTATCTACATTTTGTCCACATGACCAGGACATACCGTTCATTATCTTCTAATTTTTTAAAATTACATGCTGTTGACTTCAGAAGATATGAAGCCGTCACTGTGAGGTTTATGTTTGTTTTAAATACTTTTTGTATTGCCATGCGTTAACAGAATCGTGAAAGATGGCGGTGGTTCCCATCCACGTGAGTGGAAATTCTGTGAAACAGGGCCTCGACTTTGGATTCCGCAGGGGAGAGTAGAAGGATCCTAATCTTGGTTAATACCGACGTATTATCTTCATAAACGTGCATTACCATTCTCAAAAAGAGGCACTTGTCTTGTTTGCACGGTGAAAGCGTTCTTTAAATTGATGCGCTGAAAAAAATCCCATAGAACGCTTCATTGAATAACTCTCCCACGTGATCGCCCATTATATTAAAAAATTCCCAGCTATCTCACACTAAAGAAAGTGTTATCAACCTGATGCGTACAATGAGCATATTAATATTTATAGTTCTCTTCTCTAATAGCTGAAACGAATGTTTAATCTTCATGTGCTGCCTGGCTTTATGTTACCCATTTCGAACTTTTACTAGCCGAAATAATATCCAAGTTGAAATTTCATTAGACTCATAGTTTTTCGCTTCGTTCATTTTTCGATGAAGATCACAGACAGAAGAACATTCTGAACGAGCTCACTCTGTAATACTACGCACACATTCATATTTCACACGGTGGGCATGTATGTAAATGATGCTGCAGTTATTTGGATTTCGCTAGATCCTGATCGTGGCACGAGTAAGCTGCACAAGAAAAGGCTCTTTCTCAAAGAGTTGGGCAGAATGTTAATATGGTTTTGATACGTCAGCGCATTGGTGCTCAGCCGTCTCAAATAGTGTCAGTAGAAGGTGTTGGCATTTTGTTGACTGAAGGACATGTAGAAGATAACATAGTTAATCTTTGTTCCCATAGAACACCTCACTACTGCTATTTACCTAAAAAAGATAGCAAATTATGATTGCATTGATGTGTGGGTTATTCTTTGAGTAAAATATAAGGATAAGAACTAAGGAGTTTTCAGTTTTTGTGTTTTCACACCAGATTAAATCGACTCTCAGTGAAACTGCTCAGAATTGTTTTTATGTTTTATTTGCTAGTGTTAATGTTTTAAAAGTTTCATTCAAACGTGCACTGGTGAACAGTAGAAATCAAAAACGAAAAAAAAAAACAACGACGCACGTCCTGGTATCTTTCGGATTTCGAAGAATTTTTTCAATTTGAAAGCACGAATTGCGTTATTATCTTCTTTTTTTCATTTTCTGCATTGTTGTTAGAATTTTTTTCTGTTGTGTTTTGATGAGCTTGTTGATTGACAAGAATTGATATTCTGTTATGTTGTATCCTGTTTTGACGGCATGAATTCACGTTTGTTACGAAACAAGAATGATGGATGGCATCGCATGCGCATGCTCTTTTATATTGTTGTCTTCGTCATACGTCGTAATATTATTGTTACGTCAGCGCTGCTTTTTATTCGGCATTTCGTGTTACAGCAGCTTCTCCGATTGAACAAATAATCGTTTTCAATTCGAATGATAAATGAAAAACGTGCACAAAAAGTAGAGAGAAAGAAAGTGATATTTCTTGTTTTTTTTTTGAACGAGACAATACGCATGATTCATAACAGAGCAATCAAATTTCTCGTTTTGATTTTGTCTCATGTTTGTCGTCTTAGTTGTTGTTATTCGTAGTCCATTATATCATATGGGTTTCTCCTCACTTTCGTCGTGAAACTTTCTGTTGAATGCATTCGATTATCAGTTTTTGAAAATGATTTCGTTAAGCGATGAGCTGTAGTTATTGCATGGTATACAAGCGTGTTTTTGTATCCGCAATTAATGATAGTGCCGTCACACACTTTTATCTGTTTCCAAATCAGTCTAGTTAGTCGAGATGTGGCACTGTTTACGATTATCAGTCGACGTACATAATACTTGTAGTAGCCGTATAGTTGAAGGGTTATTCGTTTCAATGCACCAAAAATGTGGTGCTAATTCTAACCACTTTTAACACTTATGTTTTCACCTTCATTAGCAGAAATATGCTGAAACTGCAATTTAAGCAACCTCATATTTCTTGAATTTGACTCGTTTTTGGTGGAGAACACGTACACCGACACATTTTAAATTATCTAACTCTACTCCGGTTACACATGTGGTGTTTGAATCTCTTAGACTCACTAACTACCAAAAGGCTTTGATCCTTTTTATTCACTCAATTCCCTACCATGGCGGTATGGTTCTCCACCTGTCTGGTTTTCTGATTCAAAGGTGATATGGGATGCAAAAATGGGTGTAAAAATTATTCACTGTAAAATATTTTAAACCTCTTCCATGAATGAATGACTCTGGTAGTACTGTTGGCAGAGCAGCCAGAAGAGATAAGCTAGCTGGTAGTAGGTCCAAATCAGACAAGTGGATTCATCCTTTTCTGTTGTTCTACCATCCTAGGTGTAAAGCTGGAGCAGTCATTCACGGGACAGTGTACTTTCAGGCAATATACATATATGGTCCAAGCCTGAAAAGTGTGGGGTTAAGGTCTGGGTTGCAGTTAATGTATTGCAATGCACAGGTTTTGTACAGAAGTTAGGATTAGGATGACGAGAGGGAATCAAGAAATGAGTGTCGTCTGAGACCTGACGAAGAGGCGTGTTCATGACCATACTTCTCGTCAAAAAAAAAGAACAAATATTGTTGTAAATCTACAGGACCCACAAGCCAACTTAATAGAAAATCTAACAGCACATAAGAGTTTAATAATATGTCGTTCAATGATGTTTAAAATGGTTATGGGTGACGATGCTGAACGAAACAAAAATTCACCAGTATAAATCGTAATAAATTTTCTAAAATAATCCGATGAAAGAATACAAACCATCAAAAAATGGGTTGTTCTTACAACCAAAATTATTATCGGTTGTTGAAAAATTGCACCGGATTTTATGAATCTCACAACCGTCACTTTTCTAAGCGTTATTGACGACTCATTCTGTCTTTAAGCTCTTCCAAAATTTCTTCATCGAAGCAAATTTGCACTGAATATAATCCGCTTGAAGTGTGGCTGTAACAAATGTTTCCCTGTTAATTATTCTTATCATTATTTTTCGTTTCAGTCAATACTCTCGCACCACCTGATAGACAGTGGGTTATGATCAGGCATGCTGATCCTGAGCGACCAATCGGTTTGTTTTTTTCTTCACAGTTTCAGTTAACTCGTATTCACCTTCTCGAATAGTCTTGCTCTACATTTAAAGTGGCTTCAATTAGCTCTTTCCGCAGTGAGAGTTCATATAGATCGTACTCTCGCGTTCCTCCACCCCCTTGGCCGCATGGCAAGTCGTCATTCTCCCTCTCCTTCAATAATCTATTACCCGAAACCGACATATATGAAAAAATTCAAAAAAGTGGTTCAATCATTAAGGAGTTTAATGTCAAGAATTTGTCTGTGGTATCAAAGAAGTCAATTATTTGTAATCAGACAAGCATTTTAGACAAATCATTGAACATTTATGCAAGAACTGTCAGTTAATTTTCCAACATCCTCAGTTCCTCCCTTGTCATTCCTTTATAAAGAGAAATTCTCCTCCCCCCCCCNCCACTGAGATAAATCATCATCAGACTCTGAGCTATCGCAATAACATTCTGTTGTTCTTGCTTCACTCGGTATTTTAGCAACGTTTACGGTATTGTGCTATAATGTACTATGTGACAAATATGCAAGCAGTAATCTCTACTCATATTGTCCATCGTGGGCGCTTAACTGGGAATATCGTAAAGCGGCAATACTCAAGGAGATTCGGCATTATGAAGCTGATATCATCACATTACAGGCTTCTTTTTCAATCATTTGTTTCATCACTGTAGTTTCCTTCTAATCGCACTGTCCTCATATTTGTTTCGCTCAGATTTGCTCTTCTATTTCACGACATTGTTAAAGATTTTATTGCGGCCCATAGAAATGCAAATTTTCCTGATTTAACAAGATAAATTAGAAACGGTTGTTGTCATCCCATAATTTTCTTGTTGTAGCATCTGAAAATTGGCCATATGTTGTTTTAGCGCGTTGAAGACAGCATTTGACGTGTATTATGCTTTCTGCGTTAATCTTCAAGTTGAGCAATCAGGTTCTTGTGATACTCATGGCTGAAATTATCTTTTGGCTCCTGTCACGATGTATTCTTCTGTATTGTAGGAAGTCGAAACTGAGCAGTTTCGATCGTTGTTTCTGCCAGAACTTGAAGCAATCGGTTATGCGGGGATATTCTCACCGAAATCGCGTGCGAAAACGATGAGTGAAGAGGATCGAAAATACGTCGACGGCTGTGCAATTTTCTGGAAATACGATAAGTACGAATGTTCATGAATGAAATTCAATGAAGTGCATGAATATGTGATCTGAAAATAATGATCATGTTGCAGATTTGAAATGGATCGTGAGCATTTGATTGAGTTCACGCAGGTTGCAATTAAAAAAGCTCAAACTAGTGAACACATGCTAAATCGAGTGATGCCAAGAGATAACATTGCATTATGTGCCGTACTTCGCATCAAGGAGAATGTTTATTCAAGCAGTTCGTTGTTCATTTCTGTCTGTGGCTGGTTTTTTAGAACAGTTCTGATTAATTTATTACTGATGCCTCAGACAATACTATATCGAAATTCGTCATTGTTAGGCGTATTAGAATTGTATTGGAATACTATTAGTGATTATCAAATATTTTCATCCAATTTATGAAAACTTTATATCAAGTGAACCCAGTATTTCTGTTCCGTAAAATCATAGCAGTTTTTCCCGCAATTCGAAATCCTATCTGTGTGTTAACGTAATTGAAATTGAGTCTATCCAGTGCTCTTATAAGAACACACTGTTCGGCGTAATGCAAAATCTTTCATGCTCATAGAGTATTTATTCGTTTTGGTATCACTTAACATATCGCTGAATTTTGGGGTATCTTTTGCATTGTTTTTATGAGGCGACAATTTTGTGGACATAATAAATTGTTGTCCAGGTGAGAGCATGATTTTTCGAATGTAAATGAATTTTAAATCTCAAAATGGTGCTCTTTATAAAACGACTTCTTTGAGGACGTATGGCAATGTCACCTAATGAGAACGTAGTGGGCAATCCGTTGGTGGTTTGCACGGCCCATATACATTGGGATCCGGAATTCTGTGATGTCAAATTGATTCAGTGCATGATGCTTGTCCAAGAAATTGGCAATCTTTTGGACGAGGTTAGTGCCACACAATATTTCATTTTAGCTATCTGTCCAGTTTTATTATCTGCTTCTTTCTATCTGAACAAATCATCCTCTTTCTCTGAAATTACAGATTTCCGAGAAATATCGAATAGCTCCTCAACAAACTCCAGTTTTGATATGTGGTGATCTGAATTCTTTACCTGAGTCAGGCAAGTTAAACAATTTTTGTGATTGCTTTAAGTGGGTATGTTGTCACACAAGAGCACTGTGATAATCTTTTGATAGCTGTCGTTGTATCTCTGCAGAAAGGGAGAGGAGCTTTCCATGCAAAATCTATTCAAAAATGTGATAGTCAAAGCCTAGAGCGTGGAGGTGAATGAAGGTGTAATCAAAAAGATGTTAGGTGTATTCGAGGGTCGAGTTGAATGAATGTGGAATCAAAAACATTTTAGGTGTATTCGAGTTCTTATCGAAAGGTGCAATCGCAAAGGACCATCCAGACCTGAAAGGATTCCGCGACGACCCATGTCTTAGTCGTTTGAGTGCGACCGATGATCCGAAAGTTTACACACATGGATTACGCCTAGACAGTGCAGTTGACGTGAACGCATTGCCGTTCACTAATTACACGTATGTGCTTTGATTGCTGTTATCTTTATTTGAAAATGTCAGGATTACTTATCATTCTACTATTGGCTGTATTTATAAACATAAACAGTATAAACATTTATAGACATAAATGCATATGAAACAAAAATGCACCTTATCGAATGAATATTGGAAGTATTCGTCTTTTTTTATAGAAAAAACAATCGACATGCTCAGTTTAGTAGTTGAAGTGTAATGATGTATCATTGTTTTAAGGTTAGAGTTCAAGGGCGTTATTGATTACATATTTTCGACGCCTCAGTCACTGGCACGTCTTGGAGTACTCGGACCACTGGACATGGCGTGGGTACAAGCCAACAAGATCATCGGTTTTCCTCATCCGCATGTTCCATCAGATCACGTTCCAATCATGGCCCAATATGCGATCTTTCCAACCAGCCATCAGAGATCACAACCATCTGTGCATCACTATGGAAGCAGTCATTCAAGTAATTACGGCGCTGTTGGTAGATGAACTATCGAAATGTTCCTCCGTCTCTTTCGAAACTTTTGATGATCTTTCACAGTTGTGCTCTAGGCAATCGGAGACCATTTTGTATGAATATGTTGAAGTGTTATTTAACTGAACGTCTATTTTTTAGCGATAATTTATAAATTTGAAGGGTATTCTTAGAGGCATTCAGTTTAGTTGTTTGTCTTTTCACTGGCAGTGTGGATGAATGCCTTCTCGTTTTCTTGATTTTCTCGTGCCCGTTCACTTCTTCGTATGTGCGATGTTACTTGATTGGTGTAAGTCAAAGAGAGGTGCTGCATTTTGAAGCGTTTTATTTTAAATCAAGTTCTTTTGCTACTTGAACCGCCACGAAATTCACTATCAATATTCAAATAATTATATCAGTGGGACGATTTTATATTCCTTGAATTATTTCAATGAACGTTCACATCGTTCAATTTTTGCATCCTCGCAAACTGTTGAAAATTTAGTAGAAAACGCCTTTGGCATCACCTCTTTGATCACTTGCAGCACCTCTTGATCATACCTCAGCTCTACGAATCTTGTTCGTTTTTTCATCTTCTATGCGTTTCGTTTTGCGTTACTGCTCAAGTGACGTGGGCCAATTGTCTGTATTTGATTTTGAAAGGTCATTAATTGTTGCTACTACTTATTCAGGTATTCTCTTGGATTATTAATTATCTCATCATCTTCACATCATCATCATTCAACAAAGTATCTCATGGAATAAATCAAGTGATTCATTCTTTCACTATTTGACTGATGCATTCGGCCGAACTGTTTTTGCTACTGAAATTCGCATATCATCCAAATTTGAAAATCTTACGATAGCAGAACAGAAAATGGGTCCGTTCAGGTCGTATTTCTTTCAATTGGCCGGTTTTTAGTTGATTGCAAAAGACAGAGTAAGGTATTTGTGTTGCAAATTTTAGCGCATTATGATTTGTGAAATCTGTTATCATGTTTTGTGTTTTGAATGTAACACGTATCCAATTTTCATGTAAAATTAACCGCAGTCTTGCGTGATTTTACGAATATTACCTACAAACCATCGAATTTTCGAAAAATCGTTGGTTATTTTTATGCTAGTTTGATAGTACAACCCAAACGAAAGATTCTTTGCTTCTCATTGTTGCTTGATGCTGCGATTGTAATCTTTCAGTTCTTGATAGCTAAAAGCGTTTTATTTGGTCTTCTGTTGAATTTTTTTGTTTGTGACTACGGTCTGTTTGTAGTGCTTTAACGATTGTGTCTGTGAAAAATGACAAACAATTTCCTCATATTTTCAACAAAATGTGAATCGATTTTTAATATTGTTAAATTGTAAATATTGAAATTCGAACATTTCATATTGTCACGTTGCTATCATGTGCATGTTTTGTATTTTCATATTTTGTAATTCTCTCAAAATCAAATCAAAGAGACGTCTTCGTTTCAGTTTGACATTCGTTGGCGCTAATTGTTGCAAATGATGTGTAGTTTGGTGATGAAGTTAATTTCCATTCTTATTTCGGTACAGATCGCTTCAGATGGAAATTCTAATGCGTCGTTCAAAGAGATTGAAAATAAACACCGATGTATTCTGCTGAAACATTCATCGAATGTTGTAACCAGCTAAAATTTTAATTCTCGTACGAAAACGATTTGCGCCCGTGTTTCATGTTTTCCTCATTTCAATTATTTCACGCAGTACTGTGTTTACGATCAGTTTTATCGTTTACATTCGTAAGCTATGTTCATTTCAAGAAGTACTTTCATATTGATGTGTCTCTGGAATTGGCCATTTCATGATCGTTGAAAATTTATTCGTCCATATCAGAAATCATAATTTCTACGCATAGGCCACCCTGAATCGAGGTTTCCTTAGCTTGTAACTTGAATTTTAAGCGATATTTTTTGAATGGGATTCCTGTACTATGCATCTTTACCAGTATTCAATTCTGTTTGGATTGCAGCTACCACTGACCATATGAAAATAAGTTGCAGTTATTTCGACGGTCGATGAGAGGTCTCTTGAAAGGCATCCGTCGATATCATGAATATGTGTCAATTGAATAAGCATGCGTTGGTTATTTCGATGTAAGACGTTGAGCGCCACAAGAAGTTCATGTTTTGTGATTATCGATTGGTTTCTGCATATTCTTTTGGAATAAAGTCCATCATTATATGCGTTCTCACTTCAGTATATGAATTCATTTTTTTTGTTGAGAAATAGTTTAGTTGGACTAACAAGTGAGGGGCGATTTGATTGATCGATACTGAGATTCGGTTAAATTGCATATGGATGCAGTTTCATCGACCACTCAGAGCTGACGACAAATTAGAGCATCACAAAGTGGATGAAATGTTTGAATCATGTTTAACGATCATCAAGATTGAGCACTCCGTACTCCGACTTGCCATATGTGCAGTGATGATGAAATACACAGTTGTACCTATCATGACGGTATGAATGAATTTATGAAATGGTGAAAACGTATGTATTTAATCAGGATTTGTTGCATTTCACAAGCACTGTCGTTGCGTTGACGGGTGAGCGATTAGCACTCCTGGTTGTATGCTAGTGGAATTGAACTATGGAATCTTTTCCCTTTTCCCTAACTTATGATGGGCGTCATTTCCCTATCTTTAAGTGGCTTTCGGAAGTAGCCATTATTCGATTGATTCTTCCTGCATAAATTTTTAGATTACTGGTGTCCGTTCGGATCTCATTTGAATATATTAGGTGAAATATTTTAGGTCTTCACGTTTGATATACAGGTTGAAATCGACTTATGACGACAGTTGAGACCGTAAACCTCGTCGTAAGTCAGATTTGGTTGTAAATTATAAGTTACGAAAGCTATGAATTACTAAAGTTACAAATTACGCCAATATATTTATGGGCATGAATATTCTTGTTATTGCTAAGATTTTGCTCAATGAAAACTTTTATCATTATTTGAGGTTTTCAGCCATATTGGAACAACATATGAGTAATACAGGATTATGAGGTTGGGGTAAAAGAAGCCAAATTGCACTTCTGTACGCGCGCGGGCCC